CCATTCCATTTGCATATGCCAGACTCTCCGGTACAAGGTGGATGCAGTGCCTCCGGTCACCGAGACAGAGTAGCCGTGCAGATGCAGCCGAAGCCCTTATACCATGTTGTAACCTTATTCTTTTGCCGACTGTGTTGCAGCAATTCTAATCTCGAGTTTCAACTACACGTGGTAGCCCACTGGTGTATGAGCGCAGAATATGTATCTTTCTGTGCAAATATGTTTACGATGACTTGCTGATGCATGAATGCATCTGTACTAGAAGTATTACTTTTTTTTATGTGTTTATAATTTCAGAATTATGGATGTGCCTATTTTCCTGATTGTCCGATTTATCAGAATATCTGTTGGACCTTGCATTTGAATCTAAGAGTCGTCTTCATTTACTCCCTAGTCAGTAGCAACGGCAGAGAATGTTCAACGAAGTGCTAGCATGTTTTTCTTTTGGAAGTCTGGCATTTTATTGATTAAGCAATAAAGTCATACAAAGTCTCCCAAGATACAATCTGGAACAGAATGGAAAACACACAACAAACTAGAGTTCTTAACATGGGCCACTACATTACAATGCCGGTGAACATGCTTGAAAGATGTAGAAGTAAAAGTATGCCTTCTTGTTTGATATATATCACCACGGAGTCCATATTAGATCGATCCCGTGTGTTGGAGTTAATTCGTTGCATCAAAGAGAGACAATCTGAGGCAAATATCACAGAATATCACATGTGTGAATCCTTTGTCGCTCGATGTAGTGCAAGCGCTTCTGCCGTTTCCGGATCGAAGTATCCAGTGATGGACTCGGATCGAAGTATCCAGTGATGGGCTCGGAACACGCCACGAGGCAATTTCCATCATGATCAAGAGCCACCACACCCAAACTGTTGAGATTAACAAAAATAGCAGCATCAGAATAAACTACTCCCTCCGTTCCTAAGTATTTGTCTTTCTAGAGATTTACCGAAAAAGGCTTTCGCCCCGCTTTATAGATAAAGTACACCGCCACAAAACACACAACCCCAACAGGTTCAGACACACACACCCAAGTAGCACAACAAAGTCATAAGGTACTGCTGAGGGCACAGCTCAACGAGCCCAAAGAAACAGAAAAGGAAACCGGGCGAGGCCGGGCGAGAGATTTCATCTCAACATAAACACGAACCTTGTATAAATACGCCAGTATCATCTCAACATAAACACGAACCTTCGCAATAGAAACACATGGATGGTGATAAATAGCTTCATTTCTTGCCGCATTTCTGGATTCCCATACGCAAGAATAGTGGCTTCCCGGTCAGAAGACCGAAGAAAGTCAAATAGCCACTGCATGGTAGAACAAAAATCCGAGCGGCACAAATTAATATTGAAAGAATATTTTACGCCATCCCAGATGGCATGAGCATGGGGGCAGGACAGGATGGTGTGTTCAATACTTTCGGGTCTGCAACAGAAACAAGCTCGAGCTGGAACCTGACGCCGAAGAAGTTGTTCATCGGAAGGCAAGCAATTATGCGCGGAACGCCAGGGCACAATCTTCATCTTACCAGGAGCTTTGATCCACCAGATGGATTTCCAAAATTTCTCTTCATTAGCTCTATCAGAAGAGCTAGTAAGAAACGATTCGAGCGCTTCAGTCGTCCGGTGGACTTCGGACTTCTGTCATTTTCGTTCTGTGATGGTTGTGCCAGATGTCCGGAGGAAGCCTCATTTGCTTGATCCTTGTACTTGGTGTCCTCGCCATCTTGTCCGTTGGATGTAGTTGCTCCGTGGCTTTCCTTTAAGTACCTGATCACATATAAGCTCTTCGCTTGAGGTAGTAGCCATGCCTCATATGTGGAATGTGTTAGTTCGGAAAGGAGTAAGTTCACCTTAGCTTCGATAGCCCTTGCTCGAGCTCTAGTCATTGGTCCATGTGGTTTCGTGGGAGATGAAGGTAGGTCCATGTGGATGACCGTAGGATGCTCTGCATCATCTTTCCCCTTGGGAAAGATCCGACCTCGGATCAAAATCCTCATCACCATTGACGGAAGATAGGCCCTTGACGTTGAAGATGTCACTAACATTGTACTTGTCGCGTGGGATGTCGATCTTGTATGCATTGTTGTTGTAGCGTTCTAGCACCTTGAAGGGTCCGTCGGCCTGAGGTAGTAGCTTGGACTTACGTTCGTTGGGGAAGCGGTCCTTGCGAAGGTGTATCCACACAAGATCTCCAATGTTGAATATCATGGGTTTCTTGTTGATGTTGAGCTTGGTCGCAAGTCATTGTACTTGGCGCTCGATTGTTTGCCTTGTATCTTCATGCACCTTCTTGAGAAAGCTCGCACATGCACGCTCGTCCATGTTGATGCGCTCTTGTAGTGGTAGCGTAGAATGTCCAATGGGGACAAAGGATTGAAACCGTAGACGACCTCGAAGGGGGACTTTCTAGTAGTCGAATGTCTTACTCGACTGTAGGCGTACTTGGTGATGGGTAAGCACTCCTCCCACTCCTTAATGTTCTTCTTGATCAACATGCTTAGGAGAGTAGAGAGCGTTTGGTTGGTGATCTCTGTTTGGCCATCGGTTTGTGGGTGGTGTGCCGAAGAGAAGTGTAGCTTGATTCCGAGCTTGACGCAAAGCGTCTTCCAAAAGTAACTAAGGAACTTAACGTCGCGGTCCGACACGATAGTCTGGGCACTCCATGTAGACGCAAGATTACCCTACAAAAGAGATTTGCAACATGTGAAGCATCGTCTATCTTGTTAATGGAATAAAGTGTGCCATCTTAGAGAAACAGTCCACAACAACAAATACCAAATCTTTTTCATTTCTAGTTCTAGGAAAACCAAGCACAGTCCATACTAATATCTTCCCATGGGTGATACGGAATAGGAAGTAGCATATATAAACCATGTGATTGAGCTTTAGACTTAGCTTTGCGACATGTAAAGCATCGGTTGGTGTAGCGAGAGACATCACGGAACATCTAGGGCCAAAAGTAGTTCTTGGAGAGCGTGACAAATGTCTTGTCGCGTCTGAAGTGTCCCATAATGTTGGGGAACGCAGTATTTCAAAAATTTTCCTACGATCATGCAAGATCTATCTAGGAGATGCATAGCAACGAGAGGGGAGAGTGTGTCTACGTACCCTCGTAGACCGAAAGCGGAAGCGTTAAGTAACGCGGTTGATGTAGTCAAACATCTTCGCGATCCAACCGATCAAGTACCGAACGCATGGCACCTCCGCGATCTGCACACGTTCAGCTCGATGACGTCCCTCGTACTCTTGATCTAGTTGAGGCCGAGGGAGAGTTTCGTTAGTACGACGGCGTGATGACGGTGATGATGAAGTTACCGACGTAGGGCTTCCCCTAAGCATTACAACGATATGACCGAGGTGGAAATCTGTGGAGGAAGGCACCGCACACGGCTAAGACAATTGTCAACTTGTGTGTCTATGGGGTGCCCCTCCCCCGTATATAAATGAGTGGAGGAGGGGAGGGCCGGCCCTCTCTATGGCGCGCCCTAAGGGGGATTCCTACTCCTAGTAGGAGTAGGTTTCCCCAGTTTCCCTAGTTGGAGTAGGAGAAGAAGGAAGAGGGAGAAGAAGAGAAGGAAAGGGGAGCTGACCCCTCCCCAATTCGGATTGGGCTTGGGGGGGGGAGCGCCCCCCACTTGGCCGCCTCCTTCTCTCTCCCACCATGGCCCATTAAGGCCCATTGACTCCCCGGGGTTCTGGTAACCTCCCGGTACTTCAGAAAATGCCCGAACTCATCCGGAACCATTCCGGTGTCCAAACTGTAACACCCCGGATATGATTTACCCAATATGTACTCCAACTCTTGCCGTTTCCGGCGTTAAGTTATTTTATTTTCTCGGGTTCGGGTTTTTGTCTCCATGTGTTGTTATCGTTGTCATGCATCTCATATCATGTCATCATGTGCATTGCATTTGCATACGTGTTCGTCTCATGCATTCGAGCATTTTCCCCGTTGTCCGTTTTGCATTCCGGCGCTTCGTTCACCTCCGATGGTCATTTCTACCCTTCTTTCGTGTGTGGGGATTAAACATTTCCGGATTGGACCGAGACTTGCCAAGCGGCCTTGGTTTACTACCGGTAGACCGCCTGTCAAGTTTCGTACCATTTGGACTTTGTTTGATACTCCAATGATTAACCGAGGGACCGAGAAGGCCTCGTGTGTGTTGCAGCCCAACACCCCTCCAAGTTGGCCCAAAACTCACCAAAATCCTCTCCATCATCTAGAGCGTTCGATCACGATCGCGTGGCCGAAAACCGCACCTCATTTGGACTCTCCTAGCTCCATCCACCTCTATATATAGAGCCCCTCATTTCAACTCACGGACGAAACCCTAGATCCACTCCACGCGCCGCCGCCGGACAATTTTCCCCGGGCCGGACGTGTCAGTCTCCACCCCGCCGCCATGTGTCATGCCACCATTGGCCCGCGCCGCCGCGCCCACATCACCGTCCTGCCCGCGCGCCGGCCCGCCGGGGCCCAGGCGGGGCCCACCCGGCCCGCGAGCCCGAGCCGCCGCACCATCACGCCCCCGCCGCCGTCCTCCTCCCGTCCGGGCCGCCTCCTCCTGCCGCTCCCCACCGGACCCCGCCGCCTTTCGCCGCCCGCCGCCCGAGAGCCTCCTCGCCGCCGCCGCGCCATTGCCGGCGGAGCAAGCGCCGCCGCGGCCAGCTCCTCCCTCCATCGGCCGCACCTCGCCGTCCCGCGCGCCCGCGGCCACCACCACCGGCCGGCGAGCCCCTCCTCCGCGCCAAGTTCGACTCCGGTGAGGACGAACCTCGAACCGCGTGCCCCGGATCTGGATCTGAGATACCGTTTGGGTTGACTTTTGCCTCGAAACCCTAATTATTTGCTCCTGTTCATCGCATCGTAACTTTGCATCCGTAGCTCCGTTTTGGGCATATAGCATCATTTTCATTTGAGTTCATCTTGATGCCCGAAATTCTGTTAGAAGAGTGCTATTTGAGATAATTGTCAGATTTGCTGCTCCAATTAGATATTTGTCATTTTTGCCATGGTTGTTGTGTGCATGATATGCCCCTGAGCTCTACATATGTTTTGTTAAGGGTTTTTCCATCTTTCCAGAGGTGCAACCCATGTATTTCTGTGATGTGTGTGGTGACTAGCACAAGCTTG